TAAACAATTTTATTATTATTGTAAAATAATCATATACAGTATGATGGTATTAGTAAATAACCTTAATGCAAAGATACTATAACTTTAAATATGAAGATACTGGTGAAATGAATTTTGAATGTGAAGAAAATATTAAGTTATATTATAACTTTTAAATACTATATGTAAGAATTCTAGTGAAATAATATTTTTGAAATACTACTAGTATAATGCTATTTAAAATAAATAGAATTTGTTTAAACTTTATTTATTCAATTAATTACTAATAAAAATAGAGAAGCAAAAAATGCACAAAAAATATATTTAATTTGCATTTAATTCATATAAGAAATTTATTAAAAAAGTCTATACTATATAATTTATTGGTTTAGTAAATTATTTGAACCATTTTTATACAAACTGTGATCCTTTTTACTTGTATTTCTTGCTTTATATTTTGGAATTATTTGAGCATCAACTTTATTATTTTCTGAATATTTTTGTTTAGTGCTTGTCCTTCATTTGACAGACTCAACCTGAATCTGAATTTTTTTGCCACTCTTTATATATACCAAAGAATCCAAGTCTCAGTTAAGGTTATAAAGAAAAGAGCTTAATCATTGGGTAGATAATAATTTAGCTACTTTATAACACTCTGCAAATTTATCTAATACTATATATAATTGTAAATTGTCGCTTTTATAATCTAATTGAACTTCTTTTAAAAAAGTATTAAAAGATAATTTATTTCCTTAATAACCAGATTCACTATATTAAAAAAAGACAAAAAATAAAAATTTTATAAATATTTAATGATTTAATTTTTTTAAAAAAAATATATATATAAAAATAACTAACTTATCCGATATAGAATTAATGCTTATGCTAGTAATATTTTGCAATTTGCATTGACTTTTAATATCTTGTTCATAATTTTTCTTTTTCTTTTTATTATCTTGTAGTTGCTCCTCATTATTTTGCATTTGTTCTTTATTCTTTTGTTGCACTTGTTTTTTAAAAATTATTAATGTAGCAGGTTTTGTATACAATGATACATAAAACAAATTATTCGTCATGTCTAACTCTAAAAAAAAATAATAATTAGCATATATACATCTTAATACATATTAATTTATATAAAATCTATATATAAAAAATTATTATACATATCACTTGCAATATATGAGTAAACTATATGATTATTAATTGATAATAAAGATAAGAAATTGATTGTTCCAATATGGTATTTTGCTACTACAGTGCCTTGGTGCTTGCATGGAGTACCTGATATTCCAATAGAACAACTGCAAGTTTCAATTATACTATTTATAGTATATATACCTTCACATTTAAAAATCAGTTTATTAGCACTTTTATATTCAAGAATTGTTTTGCCTATGCCTTTATATTTAAAAATTGCTTCTCCAATATTTTTATATTCAAAAGTTGGTTCACCAGTATTTTTATATTTAAAATTTGTTTTGCCTACACCTTTACAATTAAAAATTATTCTTTCAATATTTTCATGTTTATCAATACCTTCATATTTAAAAAATAGATAACTAGCCCTATTGTATTCATATTCAGAAGTTATTTTATTCATATTTTTTTTGTATACTAATATAAAACAAATTAT